AGATATGTTTTTGAGATTTATTTATTCTTATCTTGACCTTGAATATTCTCAAGATTACTATAATGATGAAGATAAATGGTCACCTTATCTCAGTGGGATAGAGCCACAGTTGGATCCTTTAATACATTGCTACCTGGGACCATGTTATCCCAGAGGAATCACTTTTATTGTGATCATACTAGAAAGCATGCTTTTGCCCTTTTGACCTATTATATTATATTATGCTGAATAGAGAGGTATAGTCAACAATATATTTTGGATTTTGAAGACTTGTAAAACAATTTTTAAATTTTGACAAATGGTAAGTAACGTATACAGATATATATAAAGATTTCATAAATTGTAGTGTTCCAAAATAGTGTTAATTATTAACACTTCCAATATTGAAACACATTTTTATTGTTTGATAATATTGAGATAATATAATTTTAATAAGCCTAGCTTCTAGTTCTACACATGTTGCTACATTCAATCTTGTATAAATTAAATTATCTTTCAATTGATTCATAATTAAAAGCTTTAATCAAAGCAGATCTCAACTTTCAAGAGAAACTTGGAGAGTAAAAATGCTAAAATATATGTAGAAGATAATAAGAGCAAGAAGAAGCTATACTATATTGAAATAGCTATGAATTAATTTAATTACTTGATAAATTTATTTAGGAAGCAATGTGTGACTCAGTTTATGGATCTTATATATTAAACTAGTTTTAAAATTTGCATGAATAATATAAATATGAATTTTTCTACTTTTTCTGAATCATAGGTTCTAAAATTAGTTTAAAATACACTTTGAGTAAACACTATTTTAAGTGGTTTACCTCATATTGAAAGTTTCATCTGACACAGTGAAACTACCTTTTGATGATTACACTTTTTTGGGAAATGCAAATTATAGTATGTTTAAATTTATGGGTCAATACAGTTCAATTAAAACTCAATTAATTTCTTTTAATTTACTGTCCATTGAAGTTCTTACATGAAGCTCATAAAGAAAAAATCATGGAGCAAAGGATATCTTTAATTTATGGAAAATAGATTTATAGGATCTATAAATAGCAATTCCCAGTTTACACACTCATTTTAGCCCATTTCTATGACATAGCAGGTAAAATGCTTTATAATCCATTAAAGAAGATTTGGCCTAAAATTGAGCTTTTCAATTTTATGGAAATGTTGTTAGTATTCACTGTTGATAATTCTTACAAGAAAGTATTGTGTTTTGGCATTAGAAATAGTAGAATAGTGTCTTAATAGCTTCTTACATATTCATCCAGACCCCAAAATATTGAAAAATAGTGAAAAGAATGGCAACTATATTGTTTCAGAACTCACAGATATTTAAAGTACTTTTAAATATTGCCAGGAATTGATGGAAGAAGTGTGAGATTAAAATATCTGGTGAACAAAACAAGTTAGAAGTAAGGACAACTAGCCTAATAAACATTGATTGATGGTGTAAATTGGTTGTGTACAGTCTTACTCCACATAATGCATAAAGGAAATACTCTAAAAAATTCCTGTACTAAATAATATTTATGAAAAGTTAGGTAATAAGTAAGAATAGCCTGTTGTTTGTTGCAACTGGGTCAGCAAAGAGTCATGCCTGCTGTTGTTGCCTGCTATGAAGTCCTCAAATGGATGGCACCCCTATAGGATATTGTCCTTTAGGAAAGCCAACTGCCACGTCTTTCTACCACTGAGAAGATGGTTTGGTCAATCTAGTCAATGCTTAACCACTGTGCTACCATGTCTACTACCACCCATGGAAACCTTATATAAATGAGAAAAAAAAGCTGCTTCTTCCTGCCCCCATAGCTTGGCAAATCAACAGACAGATGGAAGAAGCATAGAATACATTCTGGATATTAGCTTGGGGAAATGGTGTACATGATATTGAGGCATGAATTCATTTGTTGGATTTATTTCAGAAGTTAAATTAAGAAAAATATCATGCCACACAATACCCTAACCCTAGTATTTTTCCCTTTTGTTTAATATCATTTTTATTATGTATTACTATGCTGTTATCTTTACAGGAACATATTGCCTTATTTTCTCCTTTGAGAGTCTAGTGAGTTTGAACCTCTGACCTTGTGGTTACCATGAGAGCTTTTATAAATTAAAACAAAACAAAACAATCATTGTCATCAATTGAGGAATTCCAACATCATTTCAACTCATAGTAACCCTATGGGTTTTCAAGACTGAAAATCTTCATGTGAGTAGAACGTCTCATTTTTGTTGAGCAACTCATGGATTTGAATTGATATTATACATTGTAGCTGAGTGGGTAAACCACCATTCCACCTAGGCTCTGTAATTATGTGCTACTGATAATAAAATCTATATGTATAATTTCTAGTTGAAGTGTATTTGTGCTAAGTATTATTAGTAATGAATGCTGTAAAAACCTCTCCATAGAATTAGAGAACTCAATTTTAACCCTTGACTCTTATGAACCCATTTTCATCTAATCGATTCCTTTTCAGTAACCTTCAGGTTAACGCTAAATGTTTACAGGGATCCCTTAACTCCTACAGTGTATTCAAAATATAAAATATTTCATTTCATAGATTAAGAAATGGTTCTACAATGAGTATGTAAGTACAGAAACATTTTGAATCTTTTGTTTAGAAATTAAATATATATATAATGTTGAGGTTTCTAAACTACTCTTTATATACTCCCACATTATGTCATTGGCTTATATTTTTAGTACACTTCTCACTTTTTATTGTTTTCATCAGTCTAAATTTTTAAAAAATTAGTATGATTGGCATATTTTTAATAAAGTTACATTTCATACTTATAATTATTTCCATGTGAAAATTTCCTAATATGGAACTTAATTCAAAAGGTATGAAAAGTATCAAACTTATGATAAAATGTTAGAACATTTTTAAAGATGAAGCTCATGTTGGAGTGGTTGGTAGTACATACAGTTAAGTGTTCCACATGCAGTTAAGTGCTGGAAGGTTGGTTGCTGGAAGCCGCTCAGAGGCACAGCGGAAGACCTGTCTGTAGAAGCATGTAGAAGACCTGTTCATCTGCTTGTGAAGTCACAGCCTTGGAAACGCTAGAGAGAAGGCCTGCTCTGCACCTATGGGCTATCTGTATGTTGGAATCAAATGGAAGGTAACAATATCAAAGTGTTGATATAAAATAGTGAGCATGTGGCTGCACTGTTAATATTTTTTGATAACTTAATAAAGTTGTGTTATTTTAAATCATTTTTATATAATTTATAGATTTACCATTTATCTATCTATTTTAAAATTTCTATCTCCTTTTTCATATAACAATCATCTATATCCTCTTTCCACATTGCAGTTGTATTTTTCAAAGTAATGTAGTTATTTTATATTTGAGATATTAATTGTATTAATGCTGTAAGATATCCAAGTTCTTGTTAATATTTATAATTTGTGCATATGTTTTTGAAATGTAAACCGTAAAAAAACACACACAAATCGCATGATAGAATATATATTATAGTAATTGGACACTCTTGGCAGAATTTTTCCTTTTATAATTATGAATATTTTTCTCCTGCCTGATGGTATAGCTCCATGTGATAGTGCATTATGTAATATTACTTTTATTAGTTGCAATAGCTATTTTTCCTCTGTATCTCTACTTGTCCTTGTATACCAGTATTTTATATATTATAGTTTTATAGTATACTGTATTTTGCCTCTCCTTCACTTCACACTCTTATCAACAATTTTCACTCTTCCTTTTAGTGTGCTCCTTTTATGGCAATTTTTATTAAAATAATTCATCATATGCTTGAACCTTGAAATTTAGGTTTTATTTCCAGAAATTAATTTTCAGAGAACAACTATATAATTACATTTAATTTTTTATATATTAAAAGCTATCTTTGCATTATACTTGATATTCAGAACATAAGTCAACTTTTCTTAAACAAATATTTAAATATTATTGTTAGTCATCAGTATTTATTATCAGAAAATTGAAAATATTATTATAATATTAAGTATTATAATAACATGTTGGAATGTTACCAGGTAGCATAATTTATCCAATTGATTTATTAAATTCTTTTGGTAATTTGAATACATTTTATTTTTCAATTTTTCAAAGATAATGACGTTTTTAAGCAAAAATTAAAGTTGGATAAGTTTTAATCTTTCAAAAGTCACCATCATTCCAAATGTGGTATAATTTTGATTTTATGATTGACATATCTCATGCAATTTCAGAAGTAAATCAGAAAGAATGGACTTTTTGATGGTTATATTTTTATATATATATATATATATATACACACACACACAAATCTTATTCTAGGCTACTCTAATGGTTTCTATCCTCTTTTGACATCATTAAAATCCTTTCTGAAACGTTTGTAATTATCTAATATTCTAGGCCAATTGTGCATTTTACTTTAACTCATTATTGCCAGCCCTCTATTTGACTGGCCTAATGCAGAGCAAAATATAGAAATGCACTATAAAACAGAAGAGAAGAAATTATCTGATTCACTTTTAGAGTTCCAGGATCTACCACAACTAGGCGTACCTCAGAGATGTTGTGGATTTGATTCCAGCTCACAAAAATAAGGCAAATACAGAAATAAAGTGAGTGACATGACGTTTTGTTTCCCAGTACACATAAACGTCTGCTTACCCTTTATGTAATTTGTTAAGGGTAAAAAAGTTATGAAAAAGTTTGAAATAATGTAAGAATACCAAAATATCATGCAGAACCATCAGATAGCATGAAATTGACACAATGTCACCTCTGTTTACTGGAAGAAATCATCTTATGTTCATACTGGGGTTTTTTGTTGAAAAGGCTATTGCTCAATACACCTAGTTAATGTGTTGGAGAGGGACTTATATTCATTCTAGGTGATTAAAAATTGAACAGCATTTAATCATCATTTTGTCATCTTGTTTACTCTTAAGGACAGTCAATACAGTGAAATGGGGGATTCAGCTATTGCCTGACTCCTTTCTTTGTTTTAAGCCATGAAGACAGACAATCAAAGTTGTGGAGCAGAGTTTATACTTCTCGGTCTTTTCCAGTTTGGCCGCATGAACATTGTCCTCTTTTTGGCTATCACTGTCTTCTTCTTGGTGGCCGTCACAGGGAACATTGGACTGATCTACCTCATTGAACTGGACACTCGACTCCACACTCCCATGTACTCTCTCCTCCGTCAGCTGTCCTTCATTGACATGATCTACATCTCCACCACGATACCCAAAATGGTAGCCAATTTCATATCAAATAATAAGACCATTACTTTTGTAGGTTGTGAGATTCAAACGTTTGTGTTTTTACTGCTTGGTGGAACTGAAGCCCTCCTTCTTGGTTTCATGTCTTATGATCGATATGTTGCCATCTGTCACCCTTTACATTATCCTGCGCTCATGAGCAAGACAATCTGTCTGTCCCTGGTCACAAGTGCATGGGCCAGTAGTTCTTTCAATGCTTTAATGCATACGCTGTATGTATTTCAACTTCCATTCTGTAGTTCTAGGCTCATTAACCACTTTTTCTGTGAAGTCCCATCTCTGTTGCCTTTGGTGTGTCAGGACACTTCCCATTATGAGTATACAATTCTCTTTAGTGGCTTTGTTATTCTGCTAATACCATTCTTGGCTATCATAGCTTCTTATGCCAGGGTGCTTACTGTGGTATACCAGATGAGCTCAGGTAGAGGGCAGAAAAAAGCTGTATCCACCTGTTCCTCTCACCTGATTGTGGCAAGCCTATTCTATGGGACTGCTATTTCCACCTATATGAGACCACATTCTTTGCGTAATTCTGAACAGGAGAAAGTGGTTGCCGTGTTTTACAGCATGATCACCCCACTTCTTAATCCATTTATCTACAGTTTGAGGAATAAAGAGGTCTTGGGAGCCTTGAAGAGACTGATGGGAAAATGAATATTTGTACAGAAAATGTGGCATTAGAAACCAATGTTACATTGAAACCGATCAACATAAAGCAAGCTATTTTTTTGTTTTTATTTGCTGAACATATGTATATGTATGTAGATATGTGTATGTAAGTTTATAACATAATACTTACTAATTCAGCATTTTTCAAGCATATGATTCAGTGATTTTAATTATACTACGAATATTGTACAAACATCATTATAATAACTGCCAAATTTCCAGTCACCATAAACAAAAATCTCAGTGCCATTCTCTCTGTTAACTAAAAATAAATTTTGTTCTCTAAGTGTTTGCCTGCTCTTGTATTGTTATAAACGTGAGATCAAATAATATTTGACACTTCCCTGGGCATAGTTTTCCTGGGTTCATCCATTTTATAGTATGAATTAGAGTGTACTATATACTATAATGATATTATTTTATTTTCGTGGTTTAGTGCCAATCCATTGTATATTTGTTGTACATCATATTATTTATACATCCATATTTTGATGGACACATAGATTACTTCACTTTGTGTGAACAGTGATACAAACACGTCCCAGCCTTGTGCCACCCTTACAATTATCTTTATATTCTTCCGCTTCAGCTCATTGTGTCAGTCACGGGGTCCCTCCATCTTCTTGAGGGCCTTCCTCTTTTTCACAGTCCCTCCACTTTACCAAACCTGACTTTCTTCTCCAAGGACTGACCTCTCCTGACAAAATGTCCAAAGTATGTAAGAGAAAGACCCATCATCCTTGCCTTTAAGAAGAACACTGGCCAAAATTTCTCAGACACATTTGTTTGTCATTTAGACAGTCCATGGTATTTTTAGTCTTCTTTGCCAACACCACAATTCAAATGCATTGATTCTTCTAAGGTTTTCTTTATTCAATGTCCCACTTTCACAATATATGAGGCAGTAAAGAATACCATGACCAGGGTCCTGAAAGTCATGTACTTACTTTTCAATACTTTAAAGAGGCCCTGTGTAGCAGATTTACCTAATGTAATACATCGTTTGATGTCTTGACTGCTGCTTCCATGAGCATTAATGGAAGATCCAAGTAAGACCAAACCCTTGACAACGTCAGTGTTTTCTCCATTTAACATTATGTTACCTACTGGTCCAGTTGTGAGGATACTGATCATCTTTACGTTGACTTGTGATCCACACTGAAGGCTGCAATCCTTGAATTTCATCATCATGTGCTTCAAACCCGCCTCACTTTCAGCAAGCAAGGCTGTGTCATCTGCACATCATAGGTTGTGAAGAAGCCTTCCTCACATCCTGTCAGTTTGTCACACTGTGGTGGCCTGTGTGTTGTGATGCAGGAAGCTAGGTTACTTGTATGTCAAATGCCAGCAGGATCACTCAAAATGAATGGTTTCAGTGGAGTTTCCAGACTAAGAACAGATAACAAAGAAGGAATTGGCTGCCCATTTTGGAGGAAGTATCTAGTGAAAATCTTATGTATAGCTTGGAAATATTGTCAGATAGTGAAGGAATGGATGCCTACTGGGTGGAAGCAGAGCATTGTGGGAGATAGTGCCTGAGGATGTGCCCCTTGATCCTGAGGTCTCTTGAAATGTATTTTCTTTGAGTGGAGTCGACCATGGTAACTTAAGTGGGGAAGAGATTGTAAAAGTGTAGCATATAGGATCTTCTATGCTGACAGGGCACAAACTCAAGGTAAGGATAAACAGCTCCAACAATATGGTAATTATCAGAATTTTAAATATACAAAGTATGAATCTAGAAAAATTGCAAGTCATCAAAAATTAATGGAACGCATGAAGATTGATGTCCTAAGCCTTAGTGTGTTGAAAGGTACTGGCCATTTTTAATCTGAAAATTCTCTGATTTACTTTGTCAGGAATGCACAATCAAGAAGAACAGCACTGCATTCATTGTTAGAAAGAATATTTCAAAAGCAATATTAAAGAACAATTCTGTCTTTGATGGTTTATGCCTAAACTGGAAAAAGCCGAAGCCATGACGGAACATTCCTTTCTAGGATTGAACGATTAAAGGGAGCTTATGGTCAGGCATCTCATACGCCCATGTCGTAAGAACTCTTTGTTCTTAGAGCAACTTCATGCCCCCAATGCATGTATGGTTTATATACATCTCTTGTAAACTTTAGAAAAGTCATTATCATTTTATGATAAAGAATATTATAAATCATTTGCCTATGGCATAAAGTTATTCTACTGATAGCATCATTAATTTAGCCAATGGTATAGAATGTTAAACACAATTGTAAAAAGGAACTTACAGAAGTATAGACTGGCTGTGAAGGACATTATACGAATTGTTGACTTGATTAGATTATACTCTTAAGTGACTGGACACTAGTTTAACAAAAAATGGGAGTTTGTTATCAGGCAACACTTGCAAGAATATTTCCTTATTGCAACTTAAGGCTTGACATTTTCCTTGAGTTCTTTCCGTTTAAGCTGAGCGTGTTTTGGTTTTCTAACTCTAGGTTTTTGGTCATTTCATTATAATATTTGACTTTGTTTTTTTGAGCTGCCCTTTGAAATTTTCTTTTCAGCTTTTTGACTTGATTATTTTTTTGCATTTGCATTCACTACTCTAAGATTAAGATCACGTTTTAGAGTCACTTCTGACATCCACTTCACTTGTGTCTTTCTCTTCTCTTTAATGACCTTATGCTTTCTTCATGAATGATGTTCTGGATGACTTCACCCAGCTCCTCGGGACTTCTGTCAGTGTTCAATGCATCAGATCTGTTCTTGAAATTCAGGTGGGATAAATTAAAAGTCATCTTTTGGCTGTTGTGGGTTTATTTTAATTTTTTTCCTTTTTAACCTGGACTTACAAATGAGCAATTTATACCCTGTCCACCAGTCAGCCCCTGACCTGTTTTTTGTTTTCATTTTTGTTTGTTTTGGTTTTTTTTTGGCCTCTGATACTGAGATCTCAATTGTCTCTTCTCACAAATGTACTCAATTTGATATTTGTGTATTTCATCTGTATAAATCCATGTGTATGGTCACTTGTGTTGTTGAAAACAGATATTTGCTATGAACAAATTCTATTATGCAATCTCCAGCTTCATTTCCATTACCAAGTCCATATTTTCCAAGTCCTATTCCTTTCTTCTTGTGTCCAACTTCTACATTCCAATTGCCAATAATTATCAATGCATCTTGACTTCATCTTCCAACTGAAAATATTGGTGGAATTATTCCATTTCTTCCTTACTCGCTTTTGTGGTTGATGCGTGATTTGATTAATAGTTGGGTTGATTGGGTTTCCTTGAAGACAGAGATATATAATCTTATCACAGAAAACATAGCTGTTCATCAATGATTTTGCAATGTTCTTTGTGGCAGTGAATTCAATGCCATTCATCTTGATTGTGTTATTGTCGACATAGTAAATCATATAATTTTTCTGATTCAAAATAATCAAAAATTGTCCACTTCAACTCGCTGATGACTAGGATATTAATCTTTATGCATCCCATTTCATTTTTTGACAACTTCCAATTTTCTTAGGTTCATACTTTATACATTTCAAATTCTAATAATTAGCAGATTATTGTAGCTGTTTCCCTTTACTTGAAGTAGTGTCCCATCAGTAAATGAAGATCCCTACGGCTCTGACTCCATTAGGATTTACACCATGCGTGTCATCATGGAAGACTCCACTCCAAAAAGACCTCTTCAGATTATTGAAGTCTGTTACTTTGAGTATTCGGTTTCTGGAGTAGGTTATACCTCAGTTCTTTGCTTCACTTTCTAAATGAATTCACGCCAAACCATGTTTCACAATCCGAGTGAGTTTTTATGAAGGAAAGGAAAGGAAAAGTTTCAGGTTTTACAGTTTCAAAGGGGTACAAGCTATTTTGGGGAAGTGTGCCAAGCCACGTGGAAGCCACACTGGGGTTCACAACTGGGCACAAAAAATCACGTGGGAAAGAGCACCCACACATGTCGAATTGGGGAATCCCCAGAGACCAAGAAGTCAAGAGGCCAAGAGCATGTGGGCCCTGAGGAGGCCTACCATGGCCCTCCTAAGTGAGGGCAGAGCAAAATTAGATTGTCAGTGGGCCAAGAGGGGGTGCCGATAGGGGTGCCAAGGGAGCATGCAGGCTGTGCTTCCTGCCTTTATTCTATCCCACCTCTGGCTGGTGGAAGCGTGGTTGAAGGTATTGGTTGACTTCATTGGCTGAGCTTAGGCCCACCCGGGTGATGTCATGGCCTAAGTGGAGGCTAGATTTTAGGTTTCACCTGTGCTCAGGGTCTTAGTCTGCCCATGCTCAGTATGGTTCTTCCCATAGGTGTTCAAAGGCTGCCTGATTTTTTTCCAACCCCTGAATGAGGCTCTGACAAGCAATTTCTGCTGGCATAGGCATTTGGGGGAGACAACCCCATTTTGTCCCCACACCTAGCTACCTTTCATGAGGACTACGGTATGCCTGATCCCAGTCATTGTCTTTTCAGTGAACTCATAACCCTGTAAATGTTGGACATTGAATAAGGAACAAAAGAAAGAATCAATGTGTTTGAACAGTGGTGCTAGAGAAGAATATTTAAAATACCATGAACTGCCTAAAGGACACACCAATCTGTCTTGCCAGAATTTTTGGCCAGAGTGTGCCTTAGAAGGATTTTTTCTTACACATTTTTGTATGTAAGACTTTTTCTTACACACTTTTGACTTGTTGTTAGGAGAGTCCGCACCCTACAGAAGGACTTCTTGTTTGGTAAAGTAGAGAAACAGTGAACAAGAGGATGGCCCTTGATAAGACAGATGGACAAGGTGGCTACAACAATGGGCTCAAGGACAGGAACAATTGTGAGGTCAGTGAAGTTCTGGTCAGCGTTTGTTATGTTGTTTATAATGTCGCTATAGGTCAGAATTGACTTGATAGTGGTTTCACACCAACTTCTCTGATGATTCTTTCAGAATACATATTGAATAAGTAGATGAGGGATACAATCCTGACCCCCACCCCTTTTGCTGGTTT